GAATGCCGTGTGAATATTTAGAATGCAGTCATAGTGAAGTTAGAATAATATTCAATTGTCATTCGATAATTTTCCAATTGGAATGCACTTCGAAAGTTTTTAACATGTGCAAAACATTCGGGCCGGTGTGACGGAACTGAGAGTCCGGTGTGATACAGAGGCCGGGACTGTCAGATTCAGAAACCAGGGGTCCTCCCTGAATAAATTAAATCCTCCGGACCCCTGGTTTCTGAATCCGACAGTCTGCGTTGAAATACAGGGTCCCTCCGGACCCTGAATAATCTTAATATAGAGTGTCCCCCGGACTCTCTGTTATACCGTTCCGTTACAGCTATGGCGAAACGGAGAGTCCAGAAGTCCGATAATAAATCAGTATAAAATGTTTTCTGTCATCTAGTTATATGTTATCCGTGTCTATAGGTTCAAAAATAAGCTTAACTGTAATTATTAAATTCATTACGAATGCAATTTTACACTTTTTAATAATTAAACCATTACATTTTTTCTTTAAAATCACACTGGCAAAGGAACGAATGTTTATAATGGGAAAGTCAATTTTACCAAAGGCATGGTGAAAATGAAAACTTCTATGACACAGTAAATTGATGGTAATCTCACAGCAAAAATACCCTTTACCCAATGGAATAGGCAAATAAAAGTAACTGAAAGCATGTCATCGAGCACGTGTATATATACCCCCGAGCAAGCCTGAAGTCACGATGGACATAGGAGCTGTTCGAAGATATCAACGAGGTGGAAGTTATCAAGCAGTCACCTTAACTAATGCTAAACGTAGCATAAGAAGAGTTGCTGTAAATCATTATCAAGTAGGTTTCCGTATTCCATCTACCAATGCTATACTACGTTCTGTTAGAAAGTGATCGATTGTGGACAATAACAATGATCATTCTGAAAGGACTTTCAAAGCGGCCCCTCCATTTTAAAACTGGCGGTCCGGGGACCCTACGTTTCAAAATGCAGTGCCCCCCGGTGTCATGTACCAGAAGGTCCGGGACCCGGGACCCGTTATTTCAGAAACCAGGGTTGAAATAACGGGTCTCGGACTCTATATCATGGTAATTAGGTATAATATACAGGGTCCCCCGGACCCTGCATTAAACCGGACCCTACGTTTCATGACAGCTATCACGAAACACAGAGTCCGCCCGTCATACAGAAGAACTGGGTCTAAAAGCTAGGGTCCTACTGTAAAACAGTAGATATTTAGTAAAAGCGCTTTGAATTGACAATCTGGGTATAATAGAATTATAATAAAGCAAACCCTTGATGCAAGTAAATATAATGTAACAAAACGGCGGTGGTTTGCACAACGACCTGGTGGTGTAGTGGACAGCGACACTTGTTATGAGACTACAATGGTATCCAATGATAGGGAAGTATGCAGAAATTTAACAATGTGTTGGTTCGAGTCCCACACTAGAGTTGACTGTATAACGTCTCTATTTTCACTCTTTTCTTTTTTAATCTCTAGTTAAATATTCTACTTACTGTCTATTTATTGTGTTTCATTCCGCAATAAAATGTGCTATACTCACTTTTTATTATATTTCATACCCTTTTTTTTAATAAAACTTACTTAAAATATTTTTCACACATATCCCATTGCATTGTGATTGTTACGGTTTTGGCCCGTCTTAGCTGTTATGCACATCGGTGGAGATAGCGTTTTACTTTTTTGACTAGAGCACGCGCTTAGCATAGTTATGTTCTGATCATTAAAAGACACTAATTCCCGCAATGAGGTAAGACTTTATGAATCATTAAGTAATTTAAACAGTTAATAAGAACTTTATAAGNGCTCAAGTTGAAAGTTAGGGACTCTACATATGAGAGACCAGTGCACAAGTTAATTCTTTTATTGACCGGAGAAGACCCCGTCGAGGAGCCAAAATAACTGTTAACTGTGGCAATAATGTCAGTTTGTTATGATTCTATGCTACAATTTGTGTAGATTTAATGAACACTTTTGTTTTCTAAAGACAGTTACATGTTGAGCTATTTGTGTTTATGGGATTGCAAGGTATTTTATGTTTTTAATACGGTAATTAACAGTAAGTTTTAATGTTCCTTAAAAGTGTTGAAGGTAAGGTAATTCTTAATAATTTCCAAGCAATATCTTTTTTGTATAAGTAATGATAAGGTAAACTGTATATTGTGTAAATTGCTTTCACAATTTAGGGGAGCCATGTTACGGTTTTGGCCCGTCTTAGCTGTTATGCACATCGGTGGAGATAGCGTTTTACTTTTTTGACTAGAGCACGCGCTTAGCATAGTTATGTTCTGATCATTAAAAGACACTAATTCCCGCAATGAGGTAAGACTTTATGAATCATTAAGTAATTTAAACAGTTAATAAGAACTTTATAAGCTGTAATTGTAACATAATTTAAGGATTATTTCTTAATTTGATGTATTTTGTTCATTTCAGTTTCTACGTGACAATTTCAATGACAAGCAAATAAAATAGATGTGAAAAAGACTAAAGAAGTTTGCTTATTCGTAACAGTGATGTTTTGTACTACATATACGCGTAGCTTATTTGAATACCACTCGTACATGTGCGTAAGCTAGGGTACACAATGAATAGAAGCTAAACTGTGCAAAACGTTTCTTGCTTTAGACTAGGGTCTTCTTCAGTTTCGTGTCATCTTTTTTCTTGTAAGAGGGATATAAATACGTCAATTGCCAATTATCATCACTTAAGGCTTTTAAATATCCACTTGCCATTTACTTACACTTTTATCTGGTGATATTATACGGCCTTGGATTTTTTTGTTGATAAAAAGTGAAATATTTGGATGGTTTGGTAACTTTTTTAATCGAATCAGTTATTTCATGGGATGCGACGTGAAATTTTCTTCCATGGGAGGAGGTACTTTTACTCCATTCAGATGGTAAGCTCTTTTTGATACTGAATTAGTCCAGAAAGTTGGCGTTAAGGTTGGCATTATCACACTCATTGTTAGATCTTTTTTTTTATTAATATATACAAAAAAACTCAAAAACATGATTTTAAGGCTATTTTACCCGACTACCCCCTTTAAGCTTGTTCGAGAGATGATAACAATCGCGTTAAACAATAGATTGCGAGCAATAGTAAGACCCCCCCCCCCCCCATTTAAGCGATGTCCCAATCAACAGTACCATAATGTAAAGGCGAGAAGTGGTCTGATTGACAAGCTTTTCCCCTGTCGCACGTTGGTCTTTGATTGTCATTTCCCCACTGTTAGATATTAGCTTTTATTGCGATGTTTTTAAAAACTTATTTATTTTCAATATTTTTACCACAATAGTCTTAGTGTGTTATGAGAATTTAGGAATTTTAACACAGTGTTATAGTCAGGAATAACGACAACGATATGGAGCTTTCAATTTCACCGATTAACTTTTCACACAATTCCATAAGTATTTTAACTCTATTTCTGCCTACTGATCATGTTCTACTGATCATGCATTTTCTTGTTTTCTTTTCATTGCTTTGCGTGATTACAAAATATTTTCCATTCTCATGTTGCAAGTCACCATGTTACATTTCCTTATGAGGTAATCCCTAAGAGACTTGTTTTCAATTAAAGATATTAAATATATTATTTGAATTAATCATGCTTGGGCCTTATCCAAAACTTAGTTATCATGTAATAAACAGTTGATCAAAATTAAATTGGCCTATGTTATGAAATTAACCAATCACGTAAACTGTTACTGACTTTGACATTTTCCATATTTTTCTGACACTAAAAACATGTTCTACACTTGTTGACACTTGGTGAAACTTAACTTATACACTCAATAACCTCTTATCATTTTACTCGTTTAATATAGTTTTAATTTTTATCTGTAATTAGTGAAAGTGTAAGTCGTTTTATTTACAACAACAGCAAAATAATGGGGGAGGGAGGGTTACCACATTAAAATATATTTTTAAGAAATTAGGTTGTTTGTGTTATTTGAACCAAATCGATTTCCTAAAAGACCAAATTAACTACTGTCGTCTATTCCGCAAAATAATGTATATCAATACAGCAATGAGTCTGTTTGTAATGTAACCCCTCCTGTTATGGACCATGTACTGATTATAAGGGCATACCCAGCAGGCAAAGTCGCGTTGGATCAACGTTGAAAACAGGTTGATACGTTGAATTGCCGTTGATCTACCTCAATTCAACGTAAAGTCAACATTGATCCAGCCACGTCAAAACACCATCATAATGTGACGTTGACTCAACATTGTATTTTGGTCATCGTTGTATTCTGGTCATCGACACAACCTTGCAGTTATGGATTGTAATTTAACATATTAATTATTGAAAACGCAATACTTTGTTTATCAATACTAATTTTAAAACTAAATTGATCAAAATAATAAAAAAAGGTTTTTAAAGTAAAAGTGACAGTTGTTTTGTGTCTTTAGTGAACTAGTGAATTTTCTTGACTTGTTATTCAGAAATACATTCCAATAAACTGAATTCTTTGCACATATATATATATATATCATCACGTTTAACTAGTAGCATAATTTTTGATTTAAAACAGTTGAGGCTCCAAATTTTGTTCATAAGTTTGGCACTTACAAATCATTCGCCAAATTTAAACTAATTTGGAATTTAAACTAGTTACCTGTACATAATTTTCTAGAATAAAACAGCGGAGGCTCCAAATGTTGTTTATAAGTGTTAAACTATACCCTGTATACGAATCATTCGCCAAATACCAATTTCGTTCTCAAACAATATTTTCTAAATATTTTGGTTTTAATTTATGAAATTTCCATAGGTGTCTGGCTCATGGGTTACAGGTAAACACTTTAATGTCAATTCTTCCAACTTTAATATGAGTCCCTGGTAGAGGTTTTAATACATAGCCATTCTGTTTTTACAACCTTTGTCTCTTTTTGACCCGCGTAATGTAACTAAGTCAGCTATTTTGACCTTGGAATGTACTGATTTTTAAATTATCCCAGTTAATCCAGGTATCAACACTTAGTGACAGTTCGTCTAGTTTTGTTTATACGAGGGCGAGTCAATATATTACCCGGCCTAACACATCTCCAACCAACCGAGACATCCACGATTTTCACGCATTGTTTCAATACAAGTATTGTGCCTGGGTACAAAACTACACATGAATACGGTCATTTGTTTGTCAGATATTGAATGTCAAACATGGCTAGTGATGTAAAAGCAAGCTTTTCATCAAAAATGGAGTACCGTGCTGTAATTCGGTACTTGCATTTGAAATTTGCATTTGAAAGGTAAAACTGGTAAGGACATACATGCCGAGTTAGTTGATGTGTATGGGTCTTCTGCACCATCTTATGCGCAAGTTAAATGCTGGCTTGGGGAGTATAAACGGGGTAAAACGTCTTTAGAAGATGAAGCCAGGTCTGGACGCCCTGTGGACGAAGAAGTCGTGGCCGCAGTTGAGGGGTGGTTCAATGGACCCTGACTTCTTCACTTCTGGGCTGATTGTACTTGAACACCGATGGTCCAAGAGCATTGCCCTGGAGGGAAATTATATTGAAAAAGAAGAAGTAGATCTCAACCCGAAAAAGGTTAAGCTGGTTATGTATCGACTCGCCCTCGTACAGTCTCTAGTGTTATCTCATGTAAGTATAAAATGCTGCGACTAAGTCAACGTTGTGTTTGGAGATACTGTGTAATAGATAGACCCCGAGTCAGCGAGGGTTATGTGGCATACACGAGTGCATAGCACAAGTGAATGTCACATAACCCTCGTGACGAGGGATCTATCTTATTTAGACCACGGGTCCATCAGAGGGTTATAACGCATTCATGCGAGACGTACGGTTATGCGAGTTACAGCACGTCTGAGACATTTGTTCTTCACTTCCACCGTGGTCTAAATACAAATACTTTCTTCTCGGGTCATAGATTGATTTGTAACTGCATAGTCACCGATATGTATAAATATTTTTCTGGCAAATTCATAACACCTTTCTTGCGCTACAAAAAGTGTGTGTCCTTGGCAGAGGTTACTATGAATAGGCGTTTTGTTTATACAACTTGTTGTCTCTTGTTGACCCTTGGAATGCGACCAAGTCAGTTGTGTTTGGAAATACTATTCATAACCGCCTAACACAAAAGAGGGGGTTTTTCTGACAGTATGTCAACATAATCGCATGATGTTGTGTTATCGTTATCTATTGAGACGTGACATGAACAGTATGACATCATGTCTGTATTTGCTCTCACACCATTCAGTGCAATTTCGTAAAACTCGGTCACAACCGGCCGTACGTGCGTTCAAACTGTGTGCAAAATCTCACGTGCCACGCTTTTACATATAGGTAAGATAAAATACGTCCCTGAGAGAGCTGAAGTATGCATTCCCGTTTTGTTTATACATCCTTCATCACTGTTGACCCTTGTATTTATCCAATGTCAGAACTAAGCCAGTTGTGTGATTGGAAATACTATTCATAGCTGCCTTACACAAAAGGGGGGATTTTTCTGACAGTATGTCAAAAAACTGTCTGATGTTGTGTTATTGTTATCTACTGAGACGTGACATAAACAGCATGACATCATGTCTATATCTGTTTCACGCCATCCAGTACTTTCAAACTGTGTGCAGAATCTTACATTCCACGCAAGTTCTTCCTGTGAAATTTGTCGACAGCTTGTAAGCACGTACGGAGGACATTGGACATCTGCAACAAACGTTCTTTTTTTTTTTTTTTTTTTTTTTTTTAAGGTACCGTTAGAAATACGTAATCTAAGACTTACGACGCAAGTTATGAAGGAACAAGTGCCCCACAGCGTGTTGAGTGCTGCGCACACCCTCACAAATTAAACAGAATCGAACGCACGGTGGAAATGGCTCCCACGCCAGTAGTAAAAAGGGCATGCACTCAGCGCACGCTCGCGATTCGCCAGTGAACGTTGAATGCGACTCACAAAGCAAACTTGGGCTTATCTTACGCCTCTCTAGCAAATCCCTTGCATCCGTTCCTTTATCTCTACGACTTCCATGGTCTTCACTGCACCTAAAAGTCATCCGACTGGTAGTGACCAAGAATTTAAAGGAGGACTGCAGGTTGGAGATCTTAGGTATTAGCTTTTTTTTATTCCCGATGCATTCATATTTTCAAAACGTATATTTATGCTTGAAACACAGCTCCAAGTTCATCGTGTGACGTACTATGGGATTTTTGGGGCAAAACATCATTTTCGGTTAAGGAGATTTTATCTACAAAAACGTGATGTTATCCCTGTTTGGGTACAGCCCCTCCCCCCCCCCCCCCCTTTAAGGTTAGCTACTCTATCATAAGCATCACCTATGTTAAAACACATACCATTTCTCTCTTGCGCCCCAGAGTATGATGTTAGTGTTCATCTGGATAACTGAGAAAATTGATAATACTTATTTTGTTCCCAGTTGTTACAGAAAGTATATTCACACCCAGGAGGGTTTAAGGAACAGAAATATACGAAATGGATGTTTCTTGTTGACCCTTGGAATGCGACTAAGTCAGCTGTGTTTGGAAATAATATTAATAATGCATTCAGAACAGTGGAGTTATTAGTCCGACGGTCCAATATGGCCGACCCACTTGAATACTTCCCCACGGGGAAACTATTCAGTGTCTATTAGCGGATTAAACGGCAAACTTTTTTAGTGGGTCGGCACATATCACCCGCATAAAAGTTAGTCTACTGTTCTGAATGCGGTCATAAAAGCAAAAAAAAAGTACGAAAAAGTTTGTTCTGTCAGAGTTTTTTTTTTTATAACACTATTTAGTTGATGGTGTGGCGTCATATTGTGGGTTGGAAAGTGATTTAAAGAGCAGCTACTATTTGCATACAGGTGTTTGATTTACACACTAATTGTGCTAACACGCTATATTCATCTGTTTCAGACATACCCCAGTACCTACAGACCCCACAGAGAATGCTAATTATTTATGCAAACACAGACACTAATTAGATAACCACACGTTGACTAAATATGATTACACGATATGAAATTGATGCAGGTTTCCACACACAGTCGGTTGTCGAAAATTAATTTGGTTTATGTTTTTTTTCACCGACTCTCTCTTTTTTGGAACTTGCAGTTAATTTTTTTAATAGACCCCTCCTTCTCCTATCAACATGTGACATACGTGTATCAATAATTTTTTGTTGTATCTGGATCAGTCAAATCTTTGTTGCATAGACCGTTTGTTTGTATCAAAGACTGCAGCTATTGTGGCACTTATCGATCGCACACTGTGTGATTTGACTAACTGCCAAGGCTCGCTGCCAATTAAGACTTAATATCAAGTCTACCTGAGCATGCAGTTCTAAAGTAAAATAACCTCGCTAGGACTGCACCGTTATAGCGCCCAAATTATTGAATACCTGTACACTTGACTTCGTTTATTGTCTCGTGCTTGCCTGTTAATCGATTTTTTAAAAGGTTGCCACTAAGTCAACAATGTGTTTAGAGGCACTATTATATACATATCCGCCTAACACAAAAAGTATTGTAATGACAGCATGTGTTGTATTACCGATATCCTGCTGAGAATCGACGTACAGAGCATCACTCGCGTCTATACCTGTCCTAGTGACTTTCATGCAATTTAGGAATTGAAACTATCTTGTTATATTATAAGTGTGTTAGTATGTACAATATGCATTGATATTGGGGGGGGGGGGGAGAACAAAGCAAACGATGTCAAAATCGACCTTGCGTTGACTCGCGACAATAAACTTGCAGTCGGCCTGAGAGCCTAATGCTGTCAACTGGGAGAAAACTACGTTGTCTTCTAACGGAAAAAAGTCAAATACAAAATTTAATGACTAATAATAATAATTATCAGCAATGGGAAGGCTTTTATCTAAAGATGCGTTTACAGAAGACAGCAGTGGTCGCTGCTACTAGTATGTATGAGCTATGGCATTAAACTGCTCGGTTTAACTGAAAGTTTACATGCACAGTACTCACCAGGTAATGGTCTGACGATGTCTATTGGATAAATGACTGTATATGGATGAAGAACTTGGATGTATTTACCTGCAGGCTGCATGGTGGCTGTGATATCTATATTATAAAACAAGTCCGTTACTTCAAAGGAGCGAATGAAAAGAACGAGGTACTGGAGTAGTGTATGATTGATCACGAGTGACAGAAAATGTGACATGGGTCGTATGCATAGATTAATTATTTAGCTATTAATACAATTGTACTGTTACTTGAATCACTGATGTAATTCAATGTATTATTTGATTTATTTGGTTTGCTGTATTATAGCTAAGATACTATAACTATGTTATTGGCCATTAAGGTATTCTGACCGTGCCTTGACCGTGTTTTAACGGCTTAGCTCTTTTAGCCTTACACCATAGCAACCATTGGGGGTCCTTTAAACCCTATTATCTTTATCACTTATGTACAATGATCCTTCACATTTCAAGATTTTTTAAATCTTTCACGTTAGAACACATCCGGGTGCAAAGTGAAAGTAGCAACAGCTTTCTTTAAATTTCATACGCAGAACTTTTCCAAATGTCGACAACGTTGTCACATGCCAATTACTAGTAACTCCATGTCCATCTACTTCATCTTGCTATTTCTGACTTAACCCCCCTCCCACCCACCCACCACCACAGTTTGGTAAAAAGAACGATAACTTACCAGTTATAATTGATTCTGACAAATGGCGTCTCGCTATTAGGAATTCTAGATAAGTGGATTTTACGGGGAATTCCCCTTTCAACCTAAATGACGTCATTGTGGTAGTACTGCACATATATCCTCCATTATTGACCATTCAGAAAGAGAAAAGCCTTGACGTTGTGAGTACTACCGCCTGAACGAGCCGTATGCGCCAGTCTGTGCCCACTGCAGTTTGTTATCTTGGTGGTTTATGTCAATTATAGACCTTGAGATAATAAATTCCGGAATATTTTAATTTTACATTGTGTAAGTGTAAGGTTGCGTCGGTTTACATTATCTGGAAATGGATTCGACCAGGTAGACGAGTATCCACAAAATTATCGTTGCATAAATATTTGTTTTGGAAGCAGACGAATAAAATACTTCAAACTACTGTTGTGAACCGTCTAAAATGACTTTAACTTTAATTTACAACTGTACTGAATTTCAGTGTATCAGTTTCCATTAACGAATTAACTAATCTATGGGCTCCGATATGACTCCAGATTCGACTCAGTCTTTCACTTTACGTGCACAGAGAAGCATAACAGAACAACCTCACATCTTCAGTCTCAGATCAAAAAGCGTCTTTATTATGGACAAGCTTCAAATTATATACAGATTAAACACAGGGAATCTATATGTACATGTGGCTGCTACTTATTTACATATGTGTACATGTGGCTGCTACTTATTTACATACTAATTGTTGTGCAATATTAACAGGTGATATGCATCTGCCTAAGGAATAGGCCTACCTATGGGCCTCTACCGAAAATAATATTTATGTATGCAGGACAGACGCAAATTATATAATAACACGTTGATTAATTATGAATACACAATGTGGAATTAATGCAGGATTCCACACGCGTTCTCCTCTTTATAAAAAAATAATGGTATATTATTTTTAAAATTATATCAACGTGAACAATAAAAGTCCCCGGAAGATAAAAATCCTTTTCATTAAACTCAATTAAGCCATCTAAACAGTGATGCCAAATTTTAATTTTGGATGCTTGGTCCGTATTTATAAATGTATCCTTTGAACAAATTTTACATTTTTTTCAGAGTTAAAAATTTGTCATTATTCTATCACATACCGTTACTACAACAACAATAATAATTATTATGATATTTACTCCTAATTTTACCTAATTTCATACCTCTAAAATTAACATAGGAGATTTTATCTTTAAGATATCTTTTCTCAAATATATACCTTTATATATATTTATATCCAATTACAATAGTAGCCAAATCAATAATTGTTTTTAAGCGTTTTTCCCAAATATACTCTTGGTAAGCAATTACCTTTGAATGAAAACTACAGTATGCTCATTATTCTCTATGCCCCCCCCCCCCAAGTCTTT